ACAATGGCCCACACAAATCTTGTCTAGTGACTTTACTTAGGGAAGACATCGATGCCACCAAATGAGAAGATCTAGTGTAATCTACCGTGATGCAACTCTGAGAAAGCCAGTCTCATCCGGGTACTGAGTTCTCGGTCTGTTCTGGGTCAAGTCAGCAGTGACAGTAGAATCAGGAAAAGAGTGAAATAAGGCCTGTGATACTTTCATTTATGCCAAACAGGCAAATGCTGACTCTTTATAAAAGATATTTCTCTGTGCTTCAGTTTCCTCATCTGTGAAATATAACCTCCTATAGTAGTTGTGAAGACTAAATAATGGTGGTGCATTTAGACCAGAGTTTGGCACAGTAGCTATTCAAATGTTAACCATCAGTATTGCTATTATGTCACCTTTAATTAACTAGATTTTTCTGTTCCTCTTTCCTCTAGGAAAGAATTTTGGAGATTACAATCGGATATCCTTCTATTCGATCTTTTGTACCCATTCTTTTTCTGTACCACACAATAAAGTCTGAGAGTGTCAAGCAATCCATCTGCATCTGACTTGTGTCTGGAAAAACCTGCAGGATTTTCAGATCGAAATATCAATACATCTCCTGTCTTGCCTTCAACCTATTTAGTATTGATCAGTTGAGGAGCAATGGTGCCTTAAAGCAAAATTTCACTGCACTATCATATGAGCTATCTGGGAAACAGCATTTAAACACATTTAACTTTAATTTAATTTTGTAACACAGTACATATTTCTTGACTTTAGGCATAAATTCAGCATGGTCACTGTCATGGTGATATTTATATTAAATTATTACTACCTGTTGCTACTCAGATATTTAAGGAAATACCAAGGGCAGGTTTTAAAAATTCTATTTTTGACAGAAAATTTTCTGAGAGAAATAATCTGAAATATATTTCAGTTACACTTAGGTCTCATTTATATAATTTGTTCCTCTAACCTGGTGCTTATCAAAAGGTCACTTGTATTTAACAAGCTTCCCCAATGATTCTGATACACATCCGGGATTGTGAACTCCCTTTTTTTTTTTTTTTAATTATGTCTGATGATCAAAACATGCTATGTGCTATTCATGTGATGGTAATCACTTACACAGCAGAGTGTTTTCCAGGATATTAAAAGGACAAACTTTTTTTTTTTAAATTTGGGTTTATCACACAAGTGGCATCTATCACGACCCCAGGAAGTCATCTTTAGCTGTCTGCTAGCATTGTGAGAAGATATTTCAAGGTCTTCTCCCAAGAGACTCTTCAGATTAGTGTTGCAGACTAAATAAAGATGGAGCTAGTAGCTGAGGTTTTACTGGAGCAGGAAAACATAACACCATGTTTTTTTAAAGCTGAATCTCTATGACAATGCCCAATGAGAAGCTAGGTCAGTATTTCTTCTTTTCTTCACTGAAAGGGCCACAGTGAGTTCTGTAGGCAAAATGAGTTGATACATCTTTATGTGATCATTCCAGCTTTATGTGATCATTCCAGCGTACTCCGTACAGCAATTTATTAATTTTTGCATTATTTAGCCCTGAAGGCCTCAAAGAGATTACTATTTTTAAATACTTATGCTTTTCATGCTTTTCTGCCCAGTGAGGAAGTAAAATGGTCAGGGTCATCTTCAATAACAATTGTTCTTAATAAGTTAGCTGTACTGTTATGGAGAGTCAGTGTAGTGCCCAGGTTAAGACTGAGGGTGCTGGAGCCCATACTCCTGGATGCTAAATCCGACTTTATCATGATCTGATTGTGAGGTAGGCACATTCTTACTCTCTGCACATCAGTTTTCTTATCTGCAAAATGGGTATAATGTTAGTAACTATATCATAGGGTTGTTATAAGGATTAAGAGAAGTAATACCTATAAAATGCTTAACAGTGTTTAGCATATGATATAATGCTAAATAATTTGCTATTACTCTGCTTTTTATGACTATCACCACCTGAGCTATAGCTGTCAATCCATACAATAGCCACACATGGCTTTTTAAATTTAAATTAATTAAAATTAAATAAAATTACACGTTTTGCTCTCAGTAGTACTGGCCACATTTGAAGTGCTCAGTAGGCACATGTAGCTAGTGGCTACCATATTACCATATCGCACAGTCAAGATACAGAACATTTCCATCATCACAGACGGTTCTGTTGGACAGAGCTGAGCCTTAGCCTAGAGAAAACAAAAAGAAGGAAAATAATTTCCTTTACAGAAGAGACACCTTTTCTTCTTAGCACTCTTTATTGCGTATGAGAATATAGGTTCTCTTTGAGAGTATGGAGCCCACTTTTTTTTTTTTTTTTTTTTTTGTGGTATCTAGTAAAAAGTGGTTTACATTTCGGAATAGGCATTTAAAGTGAACTAACAAAAAATAGTTTGCCAGAAATGGTATTCTCTCATTTGGGAAGTTCCCCGAATTTCTTTCACATGCTATTTACAATTCTCTATATGTATTGTATGTT